CGCAGGCCGTCGCTGCAGTCTGCGCGGAGATCCGCCTCGGCGACAGGGGAGGGCGGGGAAGGGGAGGGGAGGGGAGGACGCTAAAGCCCTCTCCCAGCATCGCTTCTAGACCGCCGAAAACTAAATCCGTGCTCCGGCATTTCACAGTTCTGGCTGCTGTGTGGTTCCTCTAAGGCTGGTTGTGCACTGAGATACTGGTTATGCTTGGCAGATAACGAATGGCACGGAGTCTGGCTGGCTGGTAACCAAATTGCTAGTACGAAAACAAATTGAGAGGAATGGTTTCTGCATCTTACCAGACCTGAACGCTGAATTGCCCTTGTGTGCATTAGTTTTCAGTTCTGTGGATAGATCTTAGATGGAGATTCAGGTCAGTAATGATACCAAAATGCAAAAAGACTGAGGCATTGGGGCTCTTGGGGATATGTATGAAAGTTTTTGATATCTGTGTAACTTTTGTTCATCTTCTCCTTGAGGAATTTTGGAAGGTGTAGCCCAATCTACCAAATACTTAGAATGTTGTCACTGAGTTTGCGGCAGGACAAAGTTGCTGTATATTCGTATGGTTTCTGTGATTGCTATAAGCAGTGTAATCCTATCTGGCATTGAAATAGAATTCAAGTTTGTGTAGTACAGATGTGCAAGTTAGGGTTCTTTTCACTAATGGAGCAGAAAGGTTGATTTCTTGAGAGAGTTGAAGTGTGAACATAACCATGCAGACAAGGAATTGCTTTGTGTTCTCTTTTGCTGTGAAATACGTTTTGAATTGATTGAGATACAAACTTCTGAAAACTTGATATTTATATGTACTTTGTGGGGCTTGGTTTGTGGATAGCTTCCAAAAGCTCTGAATATGCTTATCTGTGTCCCAAGCCATGTAACTTCTTCATGACATCTCTCTTAAATGTGCTTCCAAGGTTTGTTCACGTTGGCAAGTATGAAACTGGTATTTTTGACAGGATGCAGGGACTATATCCAGAAGAATGTTTTCCCCTCAGGTTGCCCATTCTGGGCTGGGAGTCGGTGTATTGGTGTTAAAAATGCTGTGTGTTTCATAATCCCTTATTAGTAATACAAACAATACTGTTAATGTATCAAGCGGTAGGCAAGGTGTTCTTAGTGTCCACTGCAACAGATAGCTGCATCTATCATGTAGTGTCAGTTCTTGTATCGAGCTTGCTTATCCATCCTTATCTTCAAGTAAGAAGGCATGCTTTGCTGTCTTCCTTCTAAAGTGTAATAAGGAACGTATTTTCTATTGTACATATAGCAACACTACTGCTGCCCTATCTTCATGGGCAATATCTTGTCTGATGTATTCAAAGTTAATGGATTTACTTCATGGTTGTCTTGCTGCTGGTAGATACACTGTGATACAGCACACCCCACATATTCCCCACTTGATTTCTGACCTGGTGATCCCATTCAGCCCTGTGACAAAGGGTTGTAGCTCCTCAGACTTAGTTTGTTCTCTGAGTTCTAGGATGCAGAGTGGGAAGGAAAAAAAGGGCGCTCAAATCGCCTGAAGTAACTTAAGGAGAACTTTGTCTATAGAGACTGGAAAATCAGGTATAAAGTGCCAAAGATTAATGCAGAGTCAAGTCTAACTTCTTCTGTGTGGTTTACAGTATAGTCTTTAATTACATACAGCTGTATTTCTGTGCTATAAGCTGTCTCGTTCAGTTAAGAATGTCGTCTACAAATGAGCCACAGTATTTCAGGAATTGTAAGGCTTTTTTGCTTGCATTTGAGGCAATAGTTCCTGGGCCCAGAAGAATCTGTATGTATGTAACTGAAAGAGAACACTGTACTGTACATGCATGTTGTTTACAAGGACAATTTTAATTCTGGTATTTTCTGATCCTGCTCAATACTATTTTAATGCTTTCTCTGTGTTGTAAGGTATGTAGTGAATTTACTGTACTGGTTAAAATACTGTGATAGTTTCAAGCATATTGTTGCTTAGTAAAAATGATTGTGTTTTTTGAACGGTTGTTTTTTGTCATTCCGGTTTCACCAACGTGCTATAAGCTGTCTCGTTCAGTTAAGAATGTCGTCTACAAATGAGCCACAGTATTTCAGGAACTGTAAGGCTTTTTTGCTTGCATTTGAGGCAATAGTTCCTGGGCCCAGAAGAATCTGTATGTATGTAACTGAAAGAGAACACTGTACTGTACATGCATGTTGTTTACAAGGACAACTTTAATTCTGGTATTTTCTGATCCTGCTCAATACTATTTTAATGCTTTCTCTGTGTTGTAAGGTATGTAGTGAATTTACTGTACTGGTTAAAATACTGTGATAGTTTCAAGCATATTGTTGCTTAGTAAAAATGATTGTGTTTTTTGAACGGTTGTTTTTTGTCATTCCGGTTTCACCAACATCCTCTTTATTAGGGCAGGCTGATGAGAGAAACTGGTAAATCTTAATTTAGAAATAAAAATTCATTAATTTCATAACGTGTTACAGGTTCCTGTGACTGTAACTTCTGTTCCTCTAACCAGTTGAAAGTTTCACAAGCATCATATGTCTGAATGACCAAGTCAGAATCATGAGAACCGTTGTTAAAATATCAGCAGTTTCCTTCTATTAGGAATAATGAATTTTAATTATCTTCACATTAGTGTCAGTTTAAATCAAATCTAACTCTCCAGTATTTGCTTTAAATGAGCATTGAGGACCTCCGATCATGGGGCAACGCTTTCTGCTTAAAAACCCACAAAGGATGGGACAGGAAGACAGGAATTGTTAGGTCTTTCTTGATTCTGAAAGAGAATGTGGTTGTCTTGGCTGTGATTTCTTGATAAAGGCAACAAAGTTCAAATATTCAGAATGAAATTTCTAGTCAAATGAAAACAAATCCATATGGAACTGTTTAAATAAGAAGCCTGAATTTGGAGGTTTTCAACAATCATGCAGACAATTTGGGTGACCTAATTGAGCTCAGTTGTTTGTGAATTACTTTTAATTCCTCCAATAAAAGAAGTTAGAGGAGGTCTAGGTATTCTGGTAACAATATTAAGCACCTAATGTCTACTTTTAAAAACCTGTCCCTGAGTTATTTTGATTATTATCGCAATATGCAGTGTATTTGCTGTTGTTTTGTGTTACCACTATTTTCACTTTATGTTGTTTCAAATAAGTTCTTACTGTGAGACTAGAAGAATTGCTAGAGAGATTAGTCATCCATCTGTGGACCAAGCAATTCTTTTAAATTCAGCAATGAAAGTGGTTAGATTTCATGCTGAATGTAGCACTTAACTGTTGCTTGTTTTGTTTTCTGAAGTAGGAGGTGTCCTGGGGATCACGTGGTTTTTGTTGAATGTGTTGGAATTCTGAATGTTGGATTTTTTTTTTTAGCCTGATCATGTTTTGGTGTGAGTTTTTATAAGGAGAATAAGATATTTTGTACTTCTGTGTTCTTAAGAGACTGCCTGCACGTAATCATGTATTAGCTAAGCCTAAGAGGAACCTGAAGTTCCTCTGTAGACAGCTAATCATTGTCTGTCTTAAGACTGGATTATGACTGTAGCAACAGTACAAAAATTTTCAGATGTAACTCGTCAGTGGAGAAGAGAGGTCCTGATCTTTGGTGATTGGGTGTGGTTTTGCAGTGAAAGGCAGAAGTGAGAGCTCAGGTGGATGTTCCTCCTGGCTGCTTTGCATTAATGGTGACTACCACCGTTCTCATGGGGCTGTTCCCAATGCCAGAGATTTTCTGGGAATTAACAATGATAAGGCTGTACACTCCTCTCTTAATGTATCCCAACTTAGTAAGTAAAAGGCGGTTGTGGCAGGCTGAGTTAGGGTAATTCTCCATTGCTATTCCTTGCTCTAGAGAGATTTTGTTGTTACGATAGTCCTCTTCAAAGAAAAACAAAAAGGTATTTATTTAAGCACTAAAATGTATATACCTCACTCAGTTAGTAGTTTTGTTTGGAATAAACTTTCTGTGTGAAAGAGTTCTCTGTCGTTCTTTAAGACTGTGTCCAGCAGATGAAGAGTCTGTTGTCCAGGTGGATCGTAATGCAGAATCCCACTGAGTCGAGTCTTTCCCCTTGAAGCTGTGTGGTTGTAGCTGTCCCACCGAACTTGGGTAGTACAGATTGTAAGAGCATGACACACAGAAATGAACCATAGTTGTTGTCTCTCAACCTCTGTAGATGGAAGTACTGCTATTAAATGATCTAGGTTATTACATAGTTAAAATATGTTCTTTAAAAATGCAAATTTAGAAAATGCCTCCCATGTCAGTGTGCTTATAAAGACTTATAATATGCTCATGAAGATTGAGTGTATTTTTGTGACTCATACAGAGTATTGATGCAGAACATGTTATGCTAGCACTTTGGTGAAATAGTATGTTGACGTGTTTTAATAAGATGAAGTTGATAGAATTTGACATCTGGGGAAAAGTGAAAGGGTGAAGTCAGTAAAGAGGTAGAGAAAACAAACACTGGTTTAATTGGGGGGGAACGACAAGGGGAAGAAGCGATAGATGGGCATCTGGCCAGGATTCTTAACCAGCTCCACGTCTTTCCTGTCTCTCTCTTTGTCAGCTAACTGTTCCTCCAGTTCAGGTTGCAGTTCTCAACACAAATTAAGGCTAAATCTCAATACCACCACCACCACCCCCTTTATTGCTAGCTGTGGATATATACAGGAATTTAAACCCCTTTAAAAACACAAGGAAACTTCTAAGGATGGGTGAGGGCAAGTATTAAAAGGTACAGTTTATGTGGAAATTCAAGGACTCAGAAAGAGGAAATTCTACTTTATGGCTACTTGTGCAACTTCAGTTTATGGGTTTAACTTTTTATGTGGCTATAGAGTTTAATAAATGATATTCTCATATTTTCCCCTTAAAAAACCTTGCTTCATTCAGTACATGAGTGGCATGCACTAAAAGGTGTAATTCAGTTACACGAAAGGCTGAAACTTCTTCCTCTCCCTTGCCCAACCCAAGTTTTTGGATGCTTGATTTTGCAATTTAGCTAGTAGAATTTTTATCTTCATGTGAGTACGTATCATATAACGGCCTTTTGTTTGTATTAGAAGCCGGGCACCTGGTATTGGGCATTTTAGACAAAAGCTTTGTGGAAACACCATTTATTACTACATTAAACATGATATATAGCGAATGTTGCAGATTTGCACCATGTTCATATGTTTGTGGATTGTGGAAGCGTAAATTATAGGGTGCTATAGGTATGGAGGAAGTTGGCCTTTCACTGACATTCAGTAAATTCTGTGGTCCTAGCCTTTATCAGCCATGAAAGTGACATCTCAGCCTGAATCATGTTTGTTGTCTAGATTGGGACTTTCATTGGTGCCAGATAAATAATTATTTGGAAGAGGCAAGCAAGTGGAAAGTAATCTGTAACCCCTTTCAAAGAATACTGAATTTCTAAGGTGAGCAGTGCTGTGGATTATTATCTTAAGTGTTAGCTTTCATCTTTGCTGGAAAGAATTTAAATGTTCAAAATTGAAACATTTTATCTTCAACATGTGTGATGTATTTGGTGGGCCAAATTTTGTTGTTTCAAGTAATGTATGATTGTGAAATTGGCCTATATTTGATAGGAGAAATTAGAGAATGAAATCTGTAACTGTTGCAGTTAATGCATGTGTTAAGTTTGAGAGGGAGTGCAAAGTTCTGTTCATGCAAATGTTTGTTTTGTTTGGGGTTTTTTTTTGGGGGGGGGGGTTTTTGAGTTTTTTGTTGTTGTGGTTTTGTTCTGTTTTTTGTTGGGGATTTTTTGAGGGTAACATGATACTTGGTGACTTCAGTAAGGGTGCAGATATCATTGCTCCTAGAAGGAATGCATTCATGCTCTTAATTTGTGGGGGTTTTATTATGTTTTTTAAAAAAAATCAGTTTGTATGGCAAAGTAAAAGATACAAAAATGTTTGTTTTGCTTCCTCCTAACCCCTCTCCCTACTTTTTTTTCCTTTTGATTAGTGCTAAATCAGCAGTTTTAAAGAACAGTTTCTATTAGAAAACATGCCTCTCTATTTCCAGACACAAGCTGCTGCTTTTTGCTGCTGGCTTTGATAAAAATTCATTAACAAAGCAGAATGAACTTCCTTTTAATGTCATAAGCTTGTGAAATGTGTACAAGCATACTTTTCAGAGTACTTTTTTTTTTTTTTTAAGGTCCCAAAAATGCACACAATTTACAGGAGATTAAATCTTCTGTCTGGAGCATGAGTCTCATTTGAGCATTGGTGAATTTCACTGAAGTTGGTAGAACTAGTTGGTATTTGTTACCTGTTGGTATTACACTGGTTTTACAAGTGTATGTTTAGAATAAATGTTTTGAGTAGAATTATTCCACGTACATGAGGAATTTTGCTGGTTCGGATTTATCCTAGAAGAAGGGAAGATGAAAATTAAGAATGTCTAAGGATGATTAATATCATGTGAATGTCCATTCCTGTATACTGCTTGTATTGCTATGTGTTGGCTAAAGGCTTCTGAAGTGCTGCTACTATAATTTTTGTGTTTTATGCATACATTCCCATGGAGGTTAGCAAAAGGGACTTCTATCTCTAAAATAATCATATAAATTAAAGTTTACTTGTTTCTCAAAAGTAAGTGTAGAATAACATTTTGTATACTACTTTAGAAGAAAAGCTTTAACTGGCCAATAGAGCCCAGGAAAATGACAGAGGAAAATATTTGCTCTATGCCTTGACTCTTGGTTTGTTTTTTCTTTTTGTTGCAGGTATTAAAATATGCTGTTGTCAATAGGAATGCTGATGTTGTCTGCCACTCAGATATACACCATTTTGACTGTTCAGTTATTTGCTTTCCTGAATCTTTTACCCGTGGAGGCAGATATTTTAGCAGTAAGTGCAAGAATGTTTTTCTACATAAACAAAATCTCTATAAAATTGAGTCTTTTTTTAAACTATTCTATTAATGGATCAGGACAATACATGTTATAGCAGGTTGCTTGGAATGGAATTTCCTTAACAGTTTAGTTCAATAAAATAATAAATTGTACATTTTCAAATGAGCTTACAGATGATGTGTGCTCAGATACCATGACAGTGAAAACACGTAGTTCTCTTAGTAATTTTAAAAGTTCCTATCTGAGCAGATACCCTATAGCATCTTATAACCCAGTTAAAAGAATTTCATGATTATTTGGTTTAGACAGCAATTTAACTTTTGGTAATGGATGCCACTTTGTAGGGTAACTGCATGTAAATAAATAAAGCAAAGTAATCTTTTATGGCTAGTATAATTTATGTGTGTGCTAGAGGCCTTGTCAGTAAAATTTTTGTGTATGTAACACCTAGATAACTTTTTTAAATGTCTGACAATCTATGCTATCCATGAAGAATATTTATTGGGTGTGTAGAATTTTAAATGATCAGCCTAATAAACAGTACGTTGAACATAAAGTCAGTGGTAAAAGTTGTTGCTGGGCTATTTATTGCCAACTTTAGATATCGTGTAGTTTTATGGAGGAAGTTATATGTGTCTTTGTAGGACAGAGATTAAGCCACTGAAATAATTAAATGTAAGTACTGTAGGCTGTATATTCTCTGTGAGTTAGTGATATCCAAGAGAGTTGTTAAAATGTATCAATTCATTTAGGAGAACAGTGTAAAACCCTTGTAGCTAAATGTTAAAGTTTTTGGTAATGTGGGGCTGATGAATACTGAATTATGTTATTTGGATCTTCGGGTTGTTACTGTTCTATTATTTTTTGTAGATAAAAAAATTTAAGAAAGAATTAATGCAGATGGATAATTGCTTTATTATGGAACTGACATCACCATTCTGTTGTGAAATTTTAAACCAGCTTTCTACTGTAAACCTGATTTTTTCCCCTCCCTCCTTTCCTTTCTCACCAAGCCCATGCTTCCTCTTTTCGTTTAAAAAAAAAAGCCTAATTTTGATTCTTGCTACTTCCTCCCTTAGAGAAGAGATTTAAAAACAAAACAAAAAACCTACCAGCCTCAAAAAAAAACCTGAGGCATTTTGCAAATTTAGTTTAATTTCTTCTATTTAAGCCTCCATATGCAGTATTCTGAAATAACTCCATCTAAAAATGAAGTATCTTTTATTCCTGGATATTTGGAAGTTACAGATATGTTCTGAGAATATCTTTGAAGTAGTAAATGAAGATATGAACTAGACACTTATTAAAACTTTGCTGTGAAAAGGAGCCAGTGGAAGTATCTGAGATACCCAGAAGAAGACGGAATGTTTGCCCACTGGGTCACACGGAATTGAAGGCATGCAGATAGTTTATAATCTTGAGATATTTCATGGTTTAATGATTGCCTGTTTGGGAAGCAAAATTCCAGCTGAAGTTTTGGGCTTGCCAAAGAAAGAAATACTTCTTTTCCCTACTGATTTAGGTGTATTTTTATGCTTCTGTGTTCTCGCATAGCTGCAGCCTCAAATGAAGGATTATGTTTGTGTAAAGTCCTGTTATGTGTATATGAAGCATGATTGGTTGTTTTTTAAATAAGGGATAAAAATAAATAGGTTTGTGTCTGACTCCTAGCTTAAGTTGGGGCTTGCTAAGTGATTCAAGGGAAAACTTACAGTAGTACAAGATCAGGAAGGATGTTTTGAAGAAGGTAGGTGACTAAATAGTGAGGATGGAGGAAGATAGTGTACAGGCACAGAGCCGTGCTACGTGATGGGAGGATGGAAGATCAGGAGAAGAGGTTGTATGGAGCAGACTGATTGCACAGAACAAAACCGCTTCCCTGAAATTTAGTTCCATTCCTACCTCTTTCCCCTCAATTTTATTAAAGTCTGTGGGAAGGAAGCTCCTTTGAAATGTTGTTCTTTTGAAAGAGTTAAGATAAATCATGGTAGCATTTTTCTTTGAACTATGGTTTGAGTTCCCCTATTGATAAAGCTGGCTACTAGGAAATGTCCCTCTGAATTAAACATGATCCTTACTTGATGGTTCTGTATGACAACTGGATGATACAATGAATAAACAAATATTTCTGAGTCATTAAGCTATTTAATAAAACATACCAGCTGATGTGCATTCAAGTCAGTTACTGTATAATTCACAACTTCTGCAGGAAACTAACTTTTTTTATTTTTAATGAAAAAAAAATTAGCATGCATACAATTTGCACTTTTTATTGTATGAATTCTGCATTGGTTAGGCATATCCTTGAGCTACAAAAGATGAACAAGGAAGGGGGAAACAAAGCTTCCACAGATCTAAGGTCTATACAGTATTCCTCTGTTTTGAAATGAAAGCTCATAATTAGTATAAAACAAAACTGTAGAGATAGTAGCTGAAAACTAAGCTGAATAGATAGCAGGGAATTGAGAAGATATTGCATATGGAGGCTATTCTTTGTCTACAGTAAACCACCTGTTAAAAGCTGTTCCTTCCCGTATGGAAGTGAATTTGAAGAAAAAAATACCCAAACAACAACAACAAAACCACTCCAAGAACGCCACCATCCAAAAGACCCCCCACACTCCAAAACCCCAGCTCTTCAGATTTTTGCTTTTTTGGGGTTGTTTTGTAGTTTCTCTCCTGCAAATATGATGATATTTGAATAGCAGACAGTAGAAAGATTTAACATACAGATAATTTAACAAAAGATCTGTTACTTACTTTCTTGTTTTGACAACGAGATAAGAGTGATGTTGCCATATGATTGGAAGACAAGTAGAAGAAGCAATTTTGTGATTTTATTGATGTGGTCACAAGAGGTCCTATGTCTGATAAATATTTTAATCTAAAAAGATACATAGTGTTGTTTATTTCTATTTATGCTTGTTACCTATTTCTCTCTTGTTGCAAACCTGAATTTTCTTTAAAATTTATTTCTTTTAGTATAACCTTGAAAATGGAACCCAGACCTTTGATGATCTACCTGCTAGATTTGGCTACAGACTTCCAGCAGAAGGCTTGAAGGTAAAAATAAATAAATAACCTGAATATATATAGAGGACTGTATCTGCTGAACACTTATTCTGTAAGCTAAAAAAGATAAACGAATATAGTACTGAGGGAAAATAAATACAGAACTGATGAATCTACTGCTCAAGCGAAACAAATATGTAAAGGGTTTGATATGAACTGTTGCCTGTAAATAGGAGAGTCATCGGCTAAGAAGAGAATTTTGGTAATCTGACCTTTGTATGTAAGGGAGAATTTGCTGAACACTTTTAATAAATAAATTAAAAATAGCTGAATGGTGGGAATCTAAGAAACTGGTTTGGTAGACCATTGTTTTCTCTGAAGTTGGTGGCGATACTGATATATGATGTCAGTTACCTTGCACTGGTATTAGTGGATGCCAGATTGAATTTTGTCTTTTTTTTTCCTAATATTTGGAGGATTTATTGTCTCTGTAGGGTTGTATATTGGTGAGCCGTTTCACACTGTAAAGTGTGGAAAGGCAAGAGGGATTATCTTCCTTGAATGTGGCCCCCGTTGAGTGCTGTGTAAAGGAGTTGTACTTTCCCAAGAAAATGAGTTATAAGAATTGTTGCTAGTTCGCTTGTCTCCTTGCCTTTCTTAAGCAACTGAATGGAGAAGCTCAGGGGCCGCAGTTTCCGTTCAGTTGCAATCCGCACCCCATAGCAGATGAGAAGTTCCCCATTCTCTCAGTGCTGCTCTCAGCCATGTGTTGCACTAATGCCATATTATTTTACTCCATCATTAAGTGGGGAAGGTCCAGACAGCACATATACATGGTTTTGTTAGTTATCTATTACAGTCTTAATACTCCAAATAAAATCATATTGGGATAGGAATGCTGTGACATGACTTGAAAACTGGCCATAGGATTATTAACAGAAGGCACTAGTAAGTGATAATATATTGAATTAGTAGGAAAAGTACATGTGACTTCTAAAATTATTTTAGTTTGTTAATCCAGTTTTCTTTGATATATAAACCCAAAAAGTAGGTAAATATTAAGCCATATTAAACTGTAAAGTGCACGTGGTATTAGAGAAGACAGAAGTAAGGTGTAAAGATTTGCAAATGTTAATGGAACTGGAAAGGGAAAAATCATATTGACATATTATGCAAAGTGATTAATGTGCAAAAAAAATCAAAGATGGGAATACATATAGGGCTTTATCATTATTTTGCACTAGATTAGAAATTCTGAAGACCTGATGTCTTCTGCAATAGAGCAGGAAGCAGGTTTTGTACAGTGAAATAATTCCTTTTCCATGTGTCTAATGCAGTTAATACACTCGGAATGTAGTAAGATATGTATATGGACTGAATGAAATTAATAAAGGGAAATTACATTCAAGGTGAGATGTGAAAGGACTATGAAGATTAAACAAATGTGGCTTCTATAAGCAACAATGTTCTACTTTTTCTGACTTCTGCTTAGGCAGTAGCTGTCTATGCATTCTGGTGGCAGTAGTCAGTAACTGATGTGAAGACAAACTCACTTTTATCTGCATAAAAGAAGATAGAGGAGGTAGAAAATAAATTTATTTTAAAATAATTTTTATATGGTGGTGTTAACACTGTAAACATAGTACTATGTTTACTATACTAAGTGCGTAAACATAGTCCTGCTGCTTAGAAAAGTATTTAACATCTAGATCAATATCCTGTTCAGTTACAGTCTTTGCATCCTCTGAGGGAAGCTTGTTGCTGAGATTATGTAGCTGATGCTTGTTGTCAGATACTGGTGTGCTGTGCTGAATTCAAGTACGGTGGGCATGCTGCATTTTTCTCTTTGCCTAATGTAAGATGCCTATGCAGAGACACGAACCGTTTACTTTCTCTAGGATCACATTCCTGCAGTGTCAGTAAGTTTGTTCATTTCAGATAAAATTTATTTTCTGTTCCTCTCCTGTACTTGAAATGCTCATGTACAAGAAAGGAGATTTAGTTTAGCCATCCAAACATTTTACTACTTGTGTGACGTTCAGGTTTCATTACTTTTTTTTTTTTCTTACTGTGGGAGTAGCTACATGGAGTCAGTCTTGTGGCAGTAACTTGTTTGTCTGGCTGTCACTTTGAACAGTGCATTAGTAAGTATTTATGACTGAGATATGCTTTTATTTTGTGTAAGAATTTGAAGCTGTAAGCATATTTAGGTAGACCACCTTCCAAGTTCTGGTGAAGTATTGCTATCATTTACACACCTGTGGAGACAGTGAACAGCACATGAGGGCAGAGAGCTGCTTTCCTGTTTGTGCTGTCTGTAGCCTGTATGGCCCCAAAATCTGGCTCCACAGCATCGCTGATGTTGCAATGCTTGTGAGTAAGCAATATGCAAAAAAATGAAGCTCATGTGAAGGTACAAAGTTGTTGGATCACTCTTTGATTGTATGGTGTCCTTTTAATCCCAAAGGGGAATAAGCTGCTGTAAGAATTCCTGTAACTCTTAGGAATTCCTCTGCAAATGAAACCTCAAGGACACTTCATTTTCATGCCCAGTGGGTTTTGTCATGGAGAGAACTGGTGTTAGAGCCATATAGCTGTATACTGACTGTATTGAGAAACAGAGGGCAATTAAGTGATTTGCCCAAGTAGTGAGCCAATTTAATACATCAAAAATAGATATAAGGAGCTTTGATTCTAACCTTTGTAACTGTTAGACAGCTCAGTGTCTTAAATAAGGTAGATGCCATCACCTGGGTAGAAATACTAATGAGTTTTAGTTCTGAATATAATATTAAATCTTTTTTCTTTGTTTGCATTAAAATTTTAATTATTTTTTTAAAATGTGGTGATGTTAGTTGAAATAGGATGAAAATACTTCTTCGATGTTTAAGATTTAATAATATGCAACTTACAGAATCTGACATTGTGTTTTACAATAGCTGGTGCCAAAGCATAAATGTAGGTAATGTAGTGTGTACTGTAGTCATAAAGTGGTTGGTAATTTGTGTCTGTGTCCTTACAAGAACAGCTCCTCAGTCAAAGATATTTAAGAATGTATGGTAGCATTAAGAAAAATCCAGTCTAGTCAGTTAGCCTTTGGTTTCTACATATGTATTTCTGGAACAGTAACATGATGTTATGCAATTTGTGTAAAACTTCTCTGTAGAATGCAGTTGATTCCAGATATGCCACTCTGGTTAAAAACGAGTAAATACTTTGTGTGAAACTACATAAGTACATTTGCTATATGAATCACGGGAAACTTAGGGACCTAAATTTGGCTTTCAGCAAATCAGTGTAGAATTTTCAGTGGATATTGCTTTTAATTGTTATAGATTGTAATGTTGTGCCTGCCACTGCACACTTGGCAAGGAACAGATTGCTGGTGCAGCTTCTCTGCCAAAATGGATATTATCATGACAAAAATCTATTCTTCAAAACAAAACTGCTTCTCTCTGTTGTAGGTTAAAGTTCATGAATAATATGTATTCACGCAAAAAATGTAAGATGATATGTAAAAAGTACACTTAAACTGACAGTTTATATATAAACTTACATATATTTTATATTTAAACTGGCAGTTTATATGTACATTTATAGATAATTAGATATATAGAGAGATGTCATCACCTGTGGGGAAATAATTATGATATATAATTATATATAAAGTTGTCAGTGAAAACAGAGTTTGAAGCTCTCAAGGATATTTCTAGAACTGTAACAATAATTTCTTGAGCCCACAGCAGTGCAGCTTCTCCTTATCTTTATTTGCATAAAACAAGTTACTTATATCCTTATTTTCTGGCAATTCACCACTTTTATCTGTATGATAACTTGCTCTAGCTTTAAAACAGACTTAAACAAGGGTGAATCTTGTAGGAATATTCTTATGTCAAATGGTACTCCACTTCATTGGTGTCCAAAAGCCTCTCTCACGCTGTGACCTTAATGCAGAAAAACTACTTTCTTTGAAAGGTGTTTGTGAAGAGGTGTATTTCAAGTGAAGGGTAGACAAAACCTCCTCTAGGTATACGGTCCGGAATATTTCTGTATCTTGGTAATCAAAATATGTTGTGAAGAGACTGACAGAAGGGAAGCTTAATTAATATGAATTAGTTAATAATTAGATTTATATTAATCTAATTAATAAAGAAGCCCTTTTTCAGGTGATCTAGAGATTTGACCAAGGAAGCAAGCATATTCTAGTAAAGGAAAAAGGGAAGGTCTGTTCTCTTTACAGTGAGAACAAATAGCATTGTACAGTATGCGTGATATTCCTTTGGCAGTTGTCTTGCATAAATTTCCGTATTGGTGGTGTTTACAGAGTATTTACAGTAGTAGGGAAGGAAGTTCAAGGGAGTAGTCAACACTGAAGTCACAGCATCATGGAGAAAGACTGGTGTCAATGCACTCAGTATTCAAGTGAGCATGTTTCCTCTGAGAGAAGCTGTAGAATTTTTCAGCAGATGTTAAAGCATGAGGTTAGGAGAGTTTCTACTCCAAACTCTTTCAGTGGTGGAGTACTAACTCGGTCACCTAAAAACAATCCAAAGATTGCTTCAAGATTGATATTGCCACAATTTCCTACTTCTGTGGATCTTTCAGCTGTAGCAGACTTGATGATCGATAGTCTTTGCTTACCATAGTAAACCAGCTATGTTGTATGCTAGTTCAGTGTTGATTTCACGTGCCTAACTTTCTTCAGTTTCCCCTTTTAATTGCCAAGTACTAATCTTGTGTTAGTGCTTCTTAGGCTATTATACTTTGGTTTTCTTGATTAGTCTCCATACGTCTTAGGATAATAATTCCACAACATTAATGTAGCATATGCAGTCCTCTTCATGCTGAATTATACTGCAGTCTGAGTTACGAACTTCAGATGATATAATTGGAAAAACTATTTTCTTTCTAACTTTCTAATTCTTTACAGATGTGAAGATTCTGACGAATCAAAATAAATAGGGATGTAGCAGGAATCTTGTTATGATATAGGATTGAGTTGATCATAAGAATTTGTTTAGCTATTGTATAAGAATGTTTTCTTTCCTCGTATTTGTCTTCCAACCCTTTCTGTAAGACAAAGAGAAATGAAGCTCCTGTTTCTGTTCCTGTTTTCTAGGGATTCTTAATAAATTCAAAACCAGAGAATGCATGTGAGCCTATAGCACCACCTCCGCTGAAAGACAACTCGTCCAGTGCTTTTATTGTGTTAATTCGAAGGCTTGAGTGCAACTTTGATGTCAAGGTAAGATTTCCACTCCCCCCTATTTTTTTTTTAATAGCTTTTTAATACAATCATCTTCTTGTGACTCACACTGAGACCCCATGAACAAAGGTAGTGTCACAGCTGGTTGTTGGGGAGAGAAGGCGGTGCACTGCCACATAGAAACAGGCACAAGTGGCAGGATGGGAATGTTTTTAAATGGGTGCAACAGCTAGATGTTATGTTATGAAGTATTTATATTATAAAATTTTTGACCTGCAGCTGAAATGAAGTATTCTCTGTGTCATTTTAAAAATACAAAATTAGAATTATTTGTGTTTGGCTAGAATATGTGGTTTTCTTGAAAATGACCCTGAGGGAATTGGCTGATGTAGTTGCCAAGCCCCTCTCCATGATATTTGAAAAGTCATGGCAGTCAGGTGAAGTCCCTGGTGACTGGAAAAAGGGAAACATTGTGCCCATTTTCAAAAAGGGTAGAAAGGAAGACGCTGGAAACTACCGACCTGTCAGCCTCACCGCTGTGCCTGAGAAGATCATGGAACAGATCCTCCTAGAAGCTATGCTGAGGCCAGGGAGGTGATTAGAGATAGCCAGCATGGCTTCACCAAGGGCAAGTCTTGCCTGACAAACCTAGTGGCTTTCTATGATGGTGCGACAGCATCAGTGGACAAGGGAAAACCAACAGACATCATCTATCTGGACTTCTGCAAAGCCTTTGACACGGTCCCCCACAACATCCTTCTCTCTAAATTGGAGAGCTATGGATTTGATGGGTGGACTGTTCGGTGGATAAGGAACTGGCTGGATGGTCGTGTCCAGAGGGTAGTGG